AAACATGCAAATTATGCAAATTTAAAAAAATTTATGCACACAAGTAAATTGCACTCAATGCAGTTTTTAAATTAACTTATATAGGCTACAATTTCCATTTTGTTGTTGAAATATAATCATTTACACAGTGGCTGTCATAACTTGTTTCATAAAAGATTTATTTAAAGGGGTCATATGATGCGATTTAAATTTTTTCTTTCTCTTTGGAGTGTTACAAGCTCTTGGTGCATAAAGAAGATCTGTAAAGTTGCAAAGACTAAAGTCTCAAATCCAAAGAGATATTCTTTATAAAAGTTAAGGGTTGCTGCTCCTTCGTCGAATCCGCCGGCCGTTCCTCACTCTAGCCCGCCATGTTTCGTTGTGAAAGCGAAATTACTTTGTTTGGCCTTCCAAATGAGGACACGATCAGTGGTTAAGTTGTATTTAGAGCACTGTTCCAGAACAGTTTAACCCAAATATTAATTTGTGCGCAGCGCATTTTATAGAGGACTGTTTCCTGATCCTGGGAGAGTAGACTACAATGCCGGCTGTTCTGACTCAAAGACTGTAAGTACGTTTTCATTTAAAAGATTTGCCACTGACGATTCAAACGTGAGTTTTGAGCAGTGTAGAGCGCTTGCTTATTTCTCCGATCACAAATGCAGACATGGTTTTATGTTTATGCGGCAAGATGCAACCAACACGTAAAAAGACAGTATAAGTCATTATAATCCGTAATTATGTCCCCACTGGATGCAACGAATGCCTCGTTTATAATGGGTTTTCATGTTTTCGTCACTCCGGCCGGAACAGGGCATCATCACAGTATGGTAAGGGGCGTAACATTTCTGTTACACGCTTGAGGTATTCAGCCAATCACAACGCACTGGTTAGCTGGCCAATCAGAGCACACCTCGCTTTTCAGACCAATGAATGTTGTAAAAATCAACGCGTTTCAGAAGGGCGGGGCATAGAGGAGAAACAATAATGTACAGTATGTGGAAAATAATGTGTTTTTTTAACTTTAAACCGCATAAACACATTTCATTACACCAAATACACAAAATAATATTCTTTTTAGCAACATTATAAGTAGGGATGGGTACCGAAACCCGGTATTTAATCGGTCCCGGGGCTAAATTATGAAAGACCAGAGTATCGATAAGCTCTGACATTAATGGTTCTGCTATCAGTACTGGAGAAATTAATAAAACACACATACATTTATTATTGCTATATATACATTATCTTGCAAATTCTATCTCACCAGAGTCACCAGCTGTTTTTCAAACATTTGTCTATGATGCATTTTTGCTATTCGCCATTCAGAAGCGAAATCGCGCTCACGCGGAGGAGCTTCAGCACGTGCAACATGAAAGCACTGTTTAATTATGATAGAAGAGTGAATTAAACATTCAAACATCTGCTTACACTTTAGGCCTGTGACTGTTTGTTAGAAAACACTCTCTGTCTTGAGATTTGTTCTGGATGTTTTCACCCCTCCTTTTCTTTTTTCCTCTCTTTCACTCGCCCCCTATACAGAGCACTGATTGATTCTCTCTCTGATTCCCCCTCCTCCATCTGCTTTCTCTCTCTCTTGTATTATGTTTTAATGTCTCTTACTCATATTTGAGGTACGCATGCGCACATGTATGCATTAGCTTTTCTTGGTTCAAATGCTCAAATAAGGACATGAATGCTAGGACTCCAAGGTAAAGGAGTTTGTGATGAACTATGAAGCGAGTTCAGCATCCTTCGCCAAAGTCTATTCCTAATATGTCCATGTTTTTCTGTACATGTGGCCATTTTATATAAACACATGTTCTTGGCCAAAGATCCTATATGTATGTCATCCATATCCTCATTGATTAAATGGTTGAAACTCCCCTCGACATATGCCTATATAATATCTTTATTTCTATGAATAAATTGAAGTATTGAGAATACATTGAATGTGTGTTTTCTTGCTTTCCGGCCGTTATACACTTTGAGGGACTGAGAATTTTTCAAGGCGGCAAAGAGATATCGAGGGACATAAATTGTTATTTTTATTAACTGTTTTATTAAGCTAATTTTATTTTTTTATTTCGATTTTGGCTTCTAAGGATTATACAAAAGAAGACATGAGGTAAAGCTATTAAAAACTAGCTGCGTTTCGTATTGCGCAACTTCTTTCCCTTCACAGCAGTGCACATTCGTTCCTCCCTAAAACCCAAATTTAACGTCAGAATCAGCTCAGTCAGTGATTGTTGTAAGATGCCGTCTTCAGAGTTCGTACACATTTTTACCAATACATTTCCATGACTTTTGAGACAATATAAAATGTTCCATTATTTTACAATAAGAATACAAATCTGTTCAAATTATCATAGCATATTTTAACTAAAATGAATGACTATTAATGCTACTCGTTTGCTTTCTTGTTTTAGTAATAAGTACAAGCTGCAACTGCGCCAGACCTTACTCCACATTTCACATCACTCAATATTATCATTTATTTAACTGTGTGGCCAGCATGGCCATTTTGTGTGTATTTTTGCTGCTTAAATGCAACAAGCTGCGCTTTAGAGCCCTGCATTTCAGCCCGAGCCCAACGGCCCCAACTTATGTATGGCTTCGGGACAATTTTCACGTCATAGCTCAGACACGGGCCAG